GAGGATTTTTTTAAGGGAAGAGAAATACAGCAACAGTCCTTGTGCACGTTCAGAATTACTGTTGAAGTTTCCTGTCTAGAAGTAATTCAGCGACCGACGCGTCAGTTTTTAGACCCTTCGTCTGTTTCGGTCGCGCCATCGCTGGACGAGATCTCCAAGAATCACCTCAGTTTGACTTTGCTCCTTTTCCTCTTCTCTTCTTCTTTCAGCGACCTCAAAAAAAGGACTTTCTTTTGCGGCGAACCGGTCGTGGATTCTCGTCCGCCGTCGCGACAAACTGCGAAATGCGAGAAAGCGACAGTTCGAAAAAGCCTCTAAGAACCGCTGCATAAACCACGTAATCCCCGCGCTCCGACGAGTCAGTTACACTAGGGAGTTTGATTGACAACCCAACAGCCAATAGAAAATGAGGGAGCCTCGTTTTCTATTGGCTGATGTTTATCTGGCCTCAACACGTCCACAGTTGATAGATTTTCGTTCTTTTTTTTTTTTTTTGGTCATCATAATTACAAAGCTGCTGCGTCTCTGTAATTGTATTTTAATCTTTCACTGAAAAATCCTCCATACAACCTTTAAGTAACATCGGAGAAACATGGGCAGGTTTTGTTGTGTGTTTGGTTGTTCTAGTCGCTCTGAAAGGGATAAAACGATTTGTTTTTTCACTGTTCCTCTGGAAATGACTCATCAGGGTCAAACAAGGGAATTATCGAAAAAAAGACGGGAATTATGGCTAGTGAACATAAACCACGAAGAGATTTCTAATGGTCCCATCAAGTCACCCGAAGTTTGCTCGCGTCACTTTCATCAAGGTATTTACTATTTAAATTGTTTCATAGTTTATTTAATGAAAGAAGCACATTTACTGAACTAAAATTTCATTCATTTATCCAGGAAAACCCGCACCAATGAACCCACACTGGGCTCCTACTGTCAACATGACGCACGAGTCGAAGAGTCTGTGAGCCGAACTGCGAAACAATCGGCCGTGAAAAGATCCTCGTGAACGTTAGAGAGATCTGCTCGTAAAAAGCGATTAATTGTAGAAGACTTAGTTGTGGATAAACAAGACAACAAAGAAAACATGGTCCTACGGCGAGTGACATGTTTATAAGCGAGTTGGAAGATACGGTTTCTACTGTCGCTCACACTCCAAATGTGACGAGGATTTCGACAGAAACACAAACAGAACTCTCTCAGTTCTCAGTTCTGTCAGAGTTCACGATAAGGAACTTCTGCCACAGACGTCGGCATCAACCACTTACAAGGGACTGAAGTGCACGATTTAAATCACAGGTGTCAAACTCATTTTGGTCCAGGGGCCGGATCAGAAAACTCATGTCATATAAACCCCAAAAATAACAATAAGTTCAAATATTTGTGCAGAGAAACACAAATCTATTACACATTTTTTTTTAACTGATGAACTCTTTCTTTTACAAAATATTATAAAATTATGAACAACCTGAAACTTGAAGAAAAATACAATTTCAGCACAAAGTTTAAACATGAACTTGTCTGTAAACAGAATAAGTCCATTTTTGTTGTAAAATTCTGCACTCGGCTCCACTTTTCTCATGTTGGACATTTTTCTGATGAGGGTCACGGTCGACAGTCAAAACCATCGTCCTTTAAGACGTTTGGAAAGAGACAAGTCTTCATTTGTGCTGCTCTGGTGGGAGGGGCCACGTACAGAGACTCTGCTCTGGTGGGAGGGGCCACGTACAGAGACACTGGAGACGCTGCTGTGATAAACACCACACAAAATTAACCCATTTTAATAGAAAATATCATTCAAATATTTGAGTAGAAAATCAGCCGAGGGCCAGATTAAAGGTCTTGGAGGGCCGGATCTGGCCCCCGGGCCTTATGTTTGACACCTGTGATTTAGATCGTTTTATTCGTGCTCCTGCTTCAACGGTGAACAGAATCGCTTCTACATGAGAAGATGTTCCTCCTAAACCTGCCGTACAACTGCACTGAGCTGTTATCAGACGAGTCTCGTTCAGTCGCTGAGACTGATTCACCTGCGCCAAAATAACATTAGATTTTTTTTTTTCGTATATCCATCCTTTCCTAACTTACCAGAGGCTACAATGTTAGATGACGTTTTGGATATAAATATTCATAAAAAGGGTCTATTAGAATCATTTACAACATTTTGTTAAATTTACAATCTCCGTCTTTTGTTATTATAAAATCACACTGGGAAAACGATCTAGAGTTGAACATGTCTGACGACCTCTGGGCAGCTGTCCTTTGTAGAGTGCACTCTTCCTCCACTTGTGCCACACATGGACTTCTTCAGTTTAAAGTCCTTCATCGGTTGGGTTGGGGTTGGGGTTGGGGTTGGGGTTGGACCCAGTGCGGCTGCAGGTCTGATCCTGGTCACTGATTCACACTGTTTGTTTGGTCCTGTAATAACTTAACAACTATTGGACTTCAATGTTCCATCTATTGTCTGGGGCAGATAAAACTAAAATTCCCTCCAGTGCTTTGGCTGCGCTCTTCAGTGTGCTGCCCCCTGGTGGATCGACCCCGGAGCGTTGTTCTCGCGCTGTCGCCTTCGCTTCTTTGACTGCGCGGCGCCTCGTTCTCTTCAGGTGGAAGGAAGCGACCCCCCCCCCCACACACACACACACACACACACACGACCAGTGGATAAATGATCTTATGAGGTTTTACACGTTGAGAAGATGAGATTTACACTCGCAGGTTCGACCACAAAATTTGAAAAAACATGGCAGCCATTTTTGAAATACATGGACACATATAAAACTGGCTCCATGCGTCAGCGCGGTCGTGTCTTTTTCTTAATCTGTCACTGTGTATTTATCCGTCGTTGTATTATCTGCTGTTATTATTATTATAATATACTTTTTTAAATTTAAAACTTCACCTTTTATTATTACTATTACTACTGCTATTATTATTAATCTATTTTATTTTATTTATTTTTTGTTCTATGTTTTGTTTTGTTTTTTCTTGGGGCTATTTTCTTTGAGAAAAAAATTGCATAAATATGATGTTTGACTCTGTAATGTGCTACCGAAATTTATAAATAAAATTGTAAAAAAAAAAAAGATTTTTTTGTTCGCGTTCCATTGCATTTGTAAACAAACGACGTCGTGTTGAAATTTTGGGAAACGTTTACCTTTCCGATTAAAACCTTGACATTACTGGCAGATTTTCCTACATAAACACACGTGACCCAGCGACAAAATCCTGGTTCACCTCTAGACTTTTATAAACCTCGATCTGCTCTTTGGTGAAGCTACGAGTCGCAAATATCAAGTAGTTTGATAAATCCAGAAATTCTACTTCTGGCCATAATTCTGTGGAGTCGGAGTAGAAACTAGTGGTCACATTATAAGCATCGATATTCCAGATTCATTTGAGCTTTTCCAAGTAGTTTTCTGGTTCATCTGAGGCGAGTCGAGATGGAACACGCTTGATCTGGCGAGCCGCCCGGTGTCATGGCGGCGTAGTTACCGTTGCTATGGGGTCACGTGACGGTGCAAAGCCTCTACATGTTCTTCTCTTCTTCAAACAGTTTAGTCGTTCCACAGAAAAAAATATAAAAATCCAACCAAAATCAGTGGATCTGTGATGATTTCTTCACCATCAACAGACCCAGAACCTCAACAGAACCAAACCAGGTCTAAACCAGGTCTAAACCAGGTCTAAACCAGGTCTAAACCAGGTCTAAACCAGGTCTAAACCAGGTCTAAACCAGGTCTAAACCAGGTCTAAACCAGGTTAAACCATAAACCAGGTAAACCAGGACTAAACCAGGTCTAAA